CAAACTGTTGGCATGTGAAGTATATTCACATTACTCACCCATCAAACAGCTCTATAGCCAGGTGTCGGGCTTGCAGTCTACTGTTTTGCTAAGCTCTCACCAATGTGTAAAGCCTGTCCAATCTAGTCCAATCTCGGCCACTTTCTCTTTCCCTCTTCTTAAAGTACTGAGCCGGGCGAACTGGCTTCTTTTTAGCTGAAGGCTGTTTTGTGAACTAGTGCTTTAAAGCCATGCATATCTTGTGAGATAACCGCAGCCCATTGCCAAAGTTACATAGTGCTGTAAACGGGTGAATGGGGCGCTCTATGGAAATGGGGTGGCTGCCTTTCTGCCTGTTGAAAGTTATTAAACTATTAAATCGACTTTAAAACTACAAAAATGGAAAACTTACATATTGTTGCTTTAATGTACTGTAGTGTAATTTACATGTAGTGATTCACAAACTTTTACCACTTTAACACCCTAAACGTTAAAAACACCTGCCTTGAAACATAAAAATGTCAAAATGCATCCAAATGATGTCTTCTTATGTTGATGATGTTGTTGTGTTTCAGTCCCCCCAAAACCTGAGGGACAAGTACCTGAAACTCTTGGCCACAAAAAGACAACCTCTGTGCATGGCCATGAGAGAAAAGGTATTTGATAGTGGCAACAATTTCTTTGTAGATGCAGATGTGTTTCAGTCAATATTTAGTTGATGAACTTTCATCACAAGCTAAATTTACTGAAAAATGGGACACAAACATCAGACATGTATCTTCATTCCTCTTTCTGTTTATCTGTTCAACTGCACTGTAGCCTGTGGGTAAACTTGGGCTATAAAATCTTAATTTCGTTTCATTGGAAGTCTATTTTTAGAGACAAGGAAAAAAGGTTGGAAGAGCCGAGAAAAAATTACAAATTAGATTGCTGGGAAGGAAGCATTTTAAGTTTTGTTGTTTTGCTTTTTCTGACAATGATGCTTTTGGTTTTTCAGTCTCCGACGACATTGAGAAACAAATACTTGAGAGTCATGGCATTAAAATGACAACAGGAAACGAGCACAAAGGTATCTTGTTAACATGAAGTGGCGGAAATCTTCTCATAAAATGTAGTTCATTTTTGCAATGTCAGTGATGATTGTGGTGTTTCAGTCCATCATGTTGTGCAACATGGGAGTCCTGGTCACAGAATCCCATCTGGGCACGGGGATGCTGAAAAGAGAGGTATCTCTTACAATGGCTGTATGGTCTTGTAAAGTACAGTAAATATACTCTAGATAACATGTTGTGTCGTGAATAGGGTAGAGATAAAGTCTTTCTCGGCAACGCACAGTGAAAAACCCAAAGGGTATCTAAATGTATCTTTAACAACATGAATACCTGTCAGTCAACATATGCTGTATGGGCTCAATCTTAGTATTCTACCAACAATACAGGAGCACCATATTTGTTTGAATGACAATGAATTTGTCTTGCCTGATCAACTTTTAACAACTTAAACTCAACACATCTTTCAGAACATTTCACATAGCTTTAATACTCATTATATTAGGATACATTAGAATATGTGAATTAGATCAATGTAAGCAATGGTGTCTCACCATTCATGGATGTTGTTGTCTTGTTAGGTTAGTAGTTGGGTAAAAAAAAGATCATCTGCACATCATCGATACAGATTGATTTGCGAGTTGTTGCTTCTCTCTAGTGCACCTGCACCACCACATCCACCACCATCACAGAGTGAATTTACTTGAATTGGATGGAGGTCATCATGAGTTGAATCGACATTTGTAAAGAAGGATGAAGAAGAGGAAGAGGAGGAAGAAGAAGATAACAAGAGAGGTAGAGTTTGGTATAATAGCCAGGTGATTCATAACTGGTTGCACATCGGGACCAAAAGTTCCTCAGCATGAGGTTAATAGTTAACACAGTATTGCATTTATAGCTCCACTTAATGTGGTAATTTGAATCCTTGTGAGCCCACAGACGAGTCATCAATTGCATGGTTCATTCTTAAAACTCACGTTCTATTATTCCCTTAATTCACCTAAGGCTCTAAAGTACAATAGGTCGATATACTTCTATTGAGAGAGTCTTCAATTTAAATCCACTTTTTGAGTGCATTCAGAGGTAGTATGTGAGTCACAAAATGTACACTGTTCGTATCAGAATGCCATCTTATTTCCAGACGAAGTCCCATCCTGCTTTCAGTTTTGGGGTTGATTTCGTTTTTGGGATTCAACCATTTTTAAAGCTTGCTCTTGCCTTCCCAAATGCAAATGTTGTACAAAAGCCTGTTCCCTCGTGTCACTTTTTTTCTTTGGCTTAAGGGCACCCAAGACTATTGTGGTGGTACAGGGCTGTGTGTGGAGTCTAGCTAAGTGGGACTATCTTAAGGATCTCTTTCCCACTGTAATTTTTGCCAACAGTTTTTAAAAACATTTTGAATTAGGAAGAATACTTTCTCAGCAGGATGGATAAATCACAGTTCACAAGCTTTGGACTGCAACTCAAAATCGGTTTCGGCCCTAAGCTTGCCCAGTTCCTGTGGATTTGTAGATGTTTGAGTATTTATATCACTTTAAGGCCTTTTTTCCATGGTGGGATAAAAATTGCGGCTGATGGTTAACCTTGAAAAAGAAAAAGAAAGCTTGAAAGCTCGAGAAGAAATATTGATCATACCAGATTTCCCATGTAGTTGACCGACAGTGGTTTCCCAGGATGAGAATGACTGTTCTATTTACATTTTTTGGAGTATTTTTAAGAGAATGTGGAATAATCTTGAAACCTCTAGAGTTTTTTTTAAATCATGCCGTCTAGTCCAAAATATAAATAATGAATCTAATAATGAGCAGTCAGGGTAGACTTGAAAACACTGAGTTCAGTTCAGCACATTAGTAGCTCTTGTCAAAGACCTTGAGTTTGACTTTTGGATTCTTTCCAACCAGTTAAGAAACACCGCACTAGCTGAAGATTATGTCAGCTTTACAGAACAAAGCAACCCCCTTCTGTCAGGTAGAATCTAGTGGGAATCCTCCCCATCTAATTTATACAACCCCTCTGTAGTCCTGATCGTAACCTATAGACTACACCTGCTCCAGCTGTGTGAAGGTAAGGTTCTGTAGAAGTCTGTAGCACGATGAAAGATGTGGTTGACAAGTCTTAAACAAGGATTCCTTCATCTCTCAAGGGCTTCTGAAGTACTTGACCTCAGGAGAGCCTCAGGCCAGACAGTTGTTTGGGCTCATATACGATGATTTCAAAGGTAAGAGACCAACATGAGCAGCATGCAGTCTCAAGATACCAGCAGGAGACTTGAGCTTAGCTAAATCCTTTTGGATTCTTTGCTTCAGATCAGTGGATTTTAAGCTCTTTCTGTTGTTTGGATGATGTTTGTAGAGTGGAAACCTGTGGAAAAATTCCTTTCATTGCATGTTTTTCATTCCTTCCCAATGCATCTGTCACTCTTTGGTGGTTTTTGTGTCTTTATGTTCATGATTAAGGTAAGTGTGCTTTAAATTCATATTTAACCATCAAACAATTGCCTTCCTTGACATCGTTGTTTATACTGATTTTAAAGAGGAAGCTTGTTAGCAGAATATTATTTTTTTTCTTTCCACCTCTCAGACACTTGAATGCACACGGCTCTTTCTGTCGTTCACTGTTAACAATTCACAATTGATAAACACCAATAAAGCAGCATCTTGACACGTAACGTTAATTTGTGGAACAATGTCCCATTGCCTCTCTAGTCGGTAGAGTAATTGGCCATTTATATTTAATTAGGCACTTCTTCCCTCTCTGCTAGCACACTTCCCTCAGTGCTGAGAGAGGCACTTTATGGGACTCCTCGTGCTGGCTTCCTTTAAACCTGCTCATTAATATTTCAGCTGGCATCATCAACCAAACAATAATAAAATAATAATGTGACGGCTGATTAAACAGCTAAACTCCGACTTTTTAATGTGCATTTAAATGTGTATTTGCATAAACATGCCTGGTAAACGCCTCTTTAGAGGACAGTGATGCCTTGCAGCGCACTATTGCAGCCAACTTCTAAAGCTTAATAAAACCTTAATTAGGTACCAAGCCGCACCGAGATAAATGTAGCAAGAAAGTGGGGCAACACCCCTCCATCTCTCGCTACACCCCTTTGCAAAATGAAGATCATACGGAAAATTACAACATTTCTCTCACTGTGAGGAAATTATAAAAGAGAGGTGTTGCAGTATTCTCCACAGCATTTTTTTTTTTTTTTTTGGCTTTGGTTTTAGGGTGTGAAATTTGGAAGAGGGCTTAATTTGTCAAGCGTACGAGCGTGCAATCAAATCCTCTCAGATAATTCATGAATTACAAAGACAAAATTGAATTAAGAGCTGCAATTGTGCAGGGTTTTATGAATAACAAGACTGTGGGAAATGAGGAAGAGATGGGGTAAAAGAGAGTAGAGGCAATGGAAGGTTAAGCAGGGTCACAGTGATTCCATAGCACCAGGTGCAGTCCGAAAACGTTTACTATACCGTAGCACTCACCTCAAAACTCCCTCGGTTATGATTCTGTAGCTTATAATCTACTCATCCGGTAATGCAGTTAAATTCCCAGACACAATTAACATGCCTGTACTCACACGCCTGTTCACATACACACAAAGAGACACACACACACACACACACACACACACAGGATAGTGGAATTCCCATCAGTAATCAGTGCAGCCCAGCGAAGCAGACTCAGCAACTGTGAGTGTAGGAATGGGGAGGGAGTGGTTTGTCTTTATTGAACCAATATAGAGTCAGAAAGGCGAGTCATAAAATCCGTTCAGAGTCATTCATTTGTGCACTGACATCTGAAACTGAAACTTCCAGATGTATCTGTTAGTGCGGGTCGTTAATCATTTCCTGCTGTCACTGAGGAATCCTGGGAGAATCCTTAAACAAATCCGATTCAGAGTTCTAACGTATTGACTTCAACTCTTAACAGGCCTCCCCCTAGAATCTAAAATCTGTCTTTTTCTTTTAGACTGTGAGTGCTACGGCCACTCCAACCGCTGCAGCTACATCGACTACCTGAACATCGTCACGTGCGTCAGCTGCAAGCACAACACCAGGGGCCAGAACTGCCAACACTGCAGGCTGGGATACTTCCGCAACGCCTCTGCCGAGCTGGATGATGAGGGCGTCTGCATCGGTCAGTGTGCAGGAGAAGTGTGGAGAGTGGTGGGGGCAGAGAGAGTGTATGGAGGGGGGGCAGTGTGTGTGTGTGTGTGTGTGTGTGTGTGTGTGTGTGTGTGTGTGTGTGTGTGTGTGTGTGTGTGCGTGAGAGAGGATGCTGGTGGGGTTTGTGTTGAGTGAGTGAATATCTGGGAAGGAGATGCTTTAGGTCTTGCTGCTTTTAAAATTCCAAAAGCAGTCTCCATTGACACAGACTTTGTTTTTTCCAAGTGAATGTGCCAAAAGAATATAGCGTAGAAAAGACTTTCTGAATGGATGCAAAAAAAAAAAAAAATTTCATTGAATATTCTTTCAACTATGCTGCTCTAAAACTTGTATGAAACATTGTGTTGTGTTGGCTCCAGCAAACAGAAATAGAAAACAAACAATGACTTAGATTATAAAGCAGATTCAGGTTGAGGGTTTTTCCTTCTATGTATTCCTTGTTACAGTACAACAAGGGAACAACAAGTAAATGGGTATATTTATATTTGATGTTTAAAACAAGCTTTAAATCTGTTTTAATCTGTATTACTATAAACAAGACCCTCAAAGAGACCGATTTTGAGCACTACAACACTATTATTAGGTAGATTTCTCTTTGGATGCTCACCCGGGACACACTACTGCTATCTCAGTTTGTTTCAGGGATAGGCATTTTATTGAAACTCCAAAAGGCTAACAGAATTAGTATCACAAGAACTGTAGTTTGAACTCAAGAAACAATCCATTTTCCTTCACAATTTAAAAAAATAACAGCCTTTACAATCTTTGAGTTAAAGAGATCGTTGCTCAAGTTAAGAGATGCTGAATTATTTTTTTGGTATCTCTAAAGTCTGTAACACCACATACCTATTCAATCATTCAAAAACCAAGACCCAACACTAGCAGGTTTTTAGGGCTTCTTCACAACGCCCATCTGACTCCCCTGATCCGTCAGCATCATCACATTGCTTTTCCACTTCATTGTCCTTATTCTTGGGGTATGTATTTTAAGTATAAAAAGGTTTAAAAGTCCTGCACAGCTTGCCTTGTACACCCTCAAGCACCCTCAGAGCTGAAATTCAACACTTATAAAGCCTAATTTTTTACCCAGTATTCAAGTGTTCAGAGCCAAGACAAAAACAAACATTCAACTGTTTTTCTAGATGTACTGTGGGTAAATATTCGTGCATCTTTTGGACAGTAACACACCGTTTTATGTAAAGTCTTTGCTCTTTTTAAACTCAGTCTCAATAAGGTCAAACCATAATAAGAGGTCACTCTGTTTGCACATCCGTGGAGCCAAAATCTGGTGTTGATTTGGGTCCATCTGTAGGTGGACTGCAGGGGGTTGGAGGGTAAAAACTCACAGTGGTTGGGGCGCACACAGGGCCAGGCCTTGGAGTCAGCACAAATAAGGCCCCATTAGCTCCTCTGCCAGAATCCTGGTACATGGAGCACGGCAAAAGAAATCAGATCACACCAGCTCCTCCCAAACACTAAAGCATCTGCTGCACACACAGTCTACACAGATACACATCCGCCATAGACACGGACACTCATTGGCTCACATGCAAGAGTCAGTATTCATGCACATGACCCACAAACACAAACATCCATCTGCATTGCTGTGGTTGTGTAATCTGGACCTCTTGGCTTGTTAGATTTGATTAATATTTAATGATAAGTTTCATAGAAAATTCTCTATTTTGGATTTTTGTTCAAGTAGACGATATCAGCTTACAACAAAATCAAGAAAAAGCATCGGTCGATCATCAGCTGGCAGACGATATGCTGCACTGCAATTTATTTTTGCCCCTAGATAGGACGGGGATCTGCAACCAGCTATCGCTGATTAGTCAGCTTCCATATTATATTTATTGGTAATGATCATTCCTGGAAGAAATTAGTGAAATTGATGTAATAACAAATTGCGATAGTTCAGAGTCATTTTGTGTAAAAGGAGGTGAACCCTAGAGAGGTAAACCTTTTTTTAACTGCTTTGACATTAAGCTCAGTATTAATTTAAGATTTTAATTGGACAAACAGATGTTTGAGCATGTCATCAACAAGCTAATGTGATTAGATGTTTGTGTTGTTTGAAAGGCCGTGTAAATGATAAGACTCCAACATACTGCATTTCTATTCGTTTAATTATGCAGCACAACAAAAACACTTCTGCGTCTCCCTCAACTGCAAAGGCACCACCATGTTCCCTTCACTTCTTCTACCTGCCTTTGAAAGCATGTATACTGCCATCAAAAGAGCCTGAATTCCTTTTAAGATAGGATTAGTTTCCCAAACAACGTCTAATATATGGATTGTACTTTCTGACACCTGTCATTTCATTTGACTGTTTAACTGATACTTCAAACAGATCAAGGGTTTAGGAAAAGACTTAGTGTTTTGTGACTTTAGACAAATGATGTTGGATCTATAGAAATAGTTGTGAGCTGGCACAATAAAAAGTGTGCCGTAAATTACAACAGTTTTTAGCTCACACAGCATCACATACATTCGATTTTCTGTTAGTTTCAATTATTTGAAAAAACTTTAAAAAATAAGAGAATAATAATAAATCCTTCTGAAAAGGACCAAATGTCTTATCTGAACTTGTGTAGCATCGTGGCACATCTCTATACTTACTGCATTTGATGAAAAAACTCCACCTCTACTTGCACACTCCTGTAGTCCTTAGAGGTCTCAGTACCAAAGCATAGCTGTGGTCTCCAAACAAATGCAGATACCGCAGACGGGCTCAAGTCACATCTAGATCAAATCCTTTGCAAAAGAGGCTGTAATTCCTAAATGACTCCTTCTCTACTTCATCCACCTTCCCACTTCTTTCAGAGTGCAACTGCAACCAGATGGGTTCCGTCCATGACCGCTGTAACGGCACAGGCTTCTGCCAGTGTAAAGACGGAGCCGCGGGGGCCAAATGTGACGACTGTCTGCCCGGGTACTACTGGAAACAAGGCTGTTACTGTGAGTCCAGAAACACCATGTTTTGTCCAATTTATTGTTCTCGTACCTCAGGAGTACTGTAGTGAACAGGTATTATCTGCCAGAAAATATATTTCAAAGCTCTTACATTTAAAAAAAAAAAAAAGTTAACCCACCAGTAGAGTAGGAGATCTTTTATTTTAGCAAGTTCATGGAACAAATGTATAAATAAATACACCTTGTAGCCTTTTAGGACCTTTACGAGTGGACTGTGCCACTTAGCTTGTGCATCACCCTGATGTTTTTTCTTTACCCCCCCCCCCCCCATGGGAATAGATCATGTACCTCATTAGCAGCATCAGCTGCTCTTTTAATTGATGACCCTGTCACTGCTTAACCCCATTACAGGGAATCGTCTTCCTCCACCATCTAGCATCGTGTCAGGGGGCCTCACATAGTCTCACATAGACCCTCTCCAACTACACACAGACACACACACACACACACACACACACATTGAAGCGCCTTGCTTTTTAGCCAGGGGTTTATTTATCACAACACAGGGACATAAATTGTTGCACAATATGTTAAATATTTGACATCTTACTCCAAATACAGCAAAGCCAATTATCCAGAGTGATAAAAAAAAACTAGTTGGGGTGTGTAATTATTTCTTGTCACAGAAGGCTGATGATTTTTTTTTCGGTTTGTAGATTTTTGGGTCAAGTATCTTTTTGCATTGCAGCTTGCTCTATAATGACTTTTAAAGTCAGTGTAATTATGTTATATACTCCTCTAATTATGACCTAACAAATACACACATGCAGTGTATTTTCTGCTGCGTCTGGGACAATGATTCTGACTTGATCCTGAGAAAGTGCAGGCTCTATGAAAACAGAGTGAGAAAAGGGCTGAAAAAACAAAAAAAGGCAGGTGTTACCTGTTGTCGTCCCTAAGGCAAAGACTGGAGAATTTATCTTGCCTCTTTCCTTCCTCCTGCTTCTCTTTTCCACTTTGTTCTTTTTGCCCTGAATTCTTCCCCTCCCTCTGTATCTCTGTTTCCCCCTCATGCCTCTTACATTGCCCCTCCTTATCCTCCCCACATGTCTTCCTTTTTCCTATACATCTTTGTCGTCTTTGTGCACTTCACTCCCCCACTCTCCTTTTACCGCCTGTCACTCCGTCACTTTGCTGTGCCCTCTTTATTCCCAACTCCTCTCTCGTGTTCTCCTTACCTCTGCAATTCCCTCACACACCCTCCCCCCCCCTCTACTTTTCCCTCTGCTGTTTCTCTGTCTGCTTTCATCTCCGCTCACAGCGAACGTTTGCGATGAGGAGATGCTCCTGTGCCAGAACGGAGGAACTTGCTACCAGAACCAGAAGTGCATCTGTCCTCCAGAGTTTAAGGGGGTACTGTGCCAACAGCCCCGCTGCGAGGCGGGCAAAGACTGCAACGCCGCCTCTTCCCTGCATCCCCCCACGGCCACCCTGCTGCTCTGCACTCTGCTAGCCCACCTGCTGGCCATGTTAACGCCCCACTGAGCCACACACACACACACACAAAAAAAAAAAATCCCCTCTGACCACGGGGTGTGTGCGTTGTGTGTATGTGAGCGGGATGGGGCCGCCAAAGTCATGGACCCCGACGAAACAGACACCGCTGCACTCGCAAGAAAAAGAAGAAAAAAAAAGCAAACACACTCACACTAACTAGCCCAAGTCTCCTTTTCAAAACACACACACAAACACACACACACCTCACAGGACTGTTACAATAACCAGTGTGTGCTCAGGTGCAAGAAGGACAAACTGGAAAAAAAAAAGAAAAAAAGAGTGACCTCAGTGAAAAGAGATGCAGGCATAAGGGGGGAAAAAAAAATCATACCAACCACTGTTCCCTTTATTCCTGAGCTGGAGCAATGTGCATCAAACCAAAAAGCATAAAGAAAACACTTAAATCACCACTGTTTCACTTCAAAGGGAATGGCTGTTGTTAATCACAAGGACCTTTTATCTTTTTCGTTCTTCTTGGTTAAGTTACAGATCTTGCCTCCGTTAAGACAGACAGCCGACATGTGTGTGTGTGTGTGTGTGGACGGTTTAAGACATGTCAACACGACGGACGGACTGACGGGTCGGGAGGCGAGATTTTGATCCTGCTGCTGAGGCCTACATATATTAACCAGGTTTCATTTCTTCTCTAAAGATGAGACTTGATTTGAGATTTATTCTATTTCTGCTGCATTCTTTTATTTTTTTTTTAATTTTAATTATATCTTCAGTCATTGTATCTAATGTGCCCACTAACAGTCGCTGAGATTATACGTACTATATAATATCCAGAGGGATTGCAGATTATAATAAAAATTAGTCACTGTTATGGTTGTTATAGGAATGAGTGATTGTTGCCACACTTAGCGAGATTTAATCTTCACACAGTATTCAGGAAAGCAGAATTTATCAGAATTTAACTTATCAGAAGCCTAAAAAGAGAGAGAGAAAAGATATCATCCACGTATCAATATTATATGACATTATTTGAATATTTTTTGTAGAAATTATTTTTGTTTGGAGTTACAATAAATTATATAAAACAAGATTTAAAACTATTCCAAATGAGCATTTTATTACACTGAGTGTAAACCCTGCAGTAAATATGACTGTTATTTGCCTTCGTGCTTGTACTTTTTTTTTTTTTATTCAATGAAATGTTCATGATGTTGAAGTCTTTCTTTTCCAGTGGGCTGAAGAAAAAGCAAGATGAGACAAGAAAGTCCAAAGTCCTTTCAGTTTGGACATTGTGTTGAATGCTCATGAATGCACACAGAGTCTGTCTGACAATCACAAGCACTGCTTTCATGTCAAAAGAATATAAATTATTTTATTCTGATAAAAGTTGCCAAGGGTTTTTATATGCGAGTGACTAAGCAAATTAAAAACATATTTTCCTCTATCCTAACAATGCATATAGAAGGGACGGGGCTTGGCAAAGTATTATATTTGTGATTATTGTAAAAATGTATTTTAATAATAATGATAAACATTTGAAGACCACTAGCCTGTCAAAGGACTTCTCACAGACGTACAAAGAAACATCAAGCCAGCCTGAAGTTTTTGAATTGCAGTTTTCAAATAGTTTCTTCCTGTTTTAGGTCACCTCATCATCATATTTTAGATCTTGGTTTTCTTCAACTATATAAGTTAACTTCATTAATTATTATTTTACATCTGGATGTTAGGAGATGGCAAATTGAGCTAAAGTTAGCAGCGGCTCAGCTTGCAGCCCCTGACACCTGCTAATATAAGCTGATTTACAAAGTGAAGCTGCTTTCAATGCTATAAGCCGTTTGAGTTACTGGGTGTGTTGGTTTAGGAGAGAAGGAAACCTCTGCAGTTTGATTTGGCTCCCAGTAAAAAGGGATAATGATTCCTATTATTTGTGGCTGTAAAACAAACAATTGCAATTAATCGCTGAATTTAAGTAAATCAAAATAGATAAAGGGAAGAGTGAAGAAATGCCATTTTGACATCACTTTGTGCATATTACTTTTCACCTGTCAACTGAGCTGTCTGAGAGTTTTTTAAAGAAAAATGTGCCATCCAAAGGCACAGTGGTGTCGAAATTTGATATCACCGTGGAAACAGGAAGGACTCAACGGTGTATAACCTAAGGTGCTCCTAAAGGGACAAAGTAACAATCGATTAAGGTGATTAAGAGAATTGAAGGTGTTCATTTCAGACCTCAATGGCATTACAATTAATGCATTAAAGCTGACACCCCTACTATTATTATTATTGGTGATCGTATTTGTTGCCATATCACGTAGCTCTTACATAAAAGTGATAAGTGACCTTCTAGAGAGACTCTCCCTGAAGCAATATTGGCAATCTTTGACTCTCCTTGAATTCACTGATCTCTTTGAAAGGCTTTTCCATTGACTTGTCCTTCAGGTTTTATTTTTCCCCTACAAAACTACAACATTATTTTACTGAGAGATGTTCTGTTGCTGAGTCAACCCAGGTACACAGTGGGTAAAGAGACATGAATGCTGCATTACAACAGGATACATCAAAGATCAAAGTGAGACTAAGCCTGTAAGAAATGACAAGACAGGGTTTCTGGTATTACTCCTCTATGTCTGAGCTGTTGGTAGTTGTGTTAGCTATTCTGTCTGTAGGACTCATCCCCTCTGAGCCTGAATGGTGTCAAGAGCCGAGACGCGGAAGCGAATAGTTTATGAATGTAGAACACAGAGAAATGATGTAAAGAAACACATTTCATTGTGGATCAAAGAGCAGGTAGAGCATGCAGCCAGAGGAAAATACATTACAGCATACTCTGATACATAACTGTGTGGAAATCTGATCTTCAACAGCCAGTCAGAGAAGAACATGGATTGGGCTAATGCATTCTTGTAATCATTTCTACAAATGGAAATTCTTGAATAATAACATGTTGATATTCAGTGAGAGAGATTTTTCTTGGGTTGAAATGTGCTTCTGTACTATCTTGCCTAAGCTACAAAAGAGAGATCCCATTCTCATATTTTTTGGTAAATATTAAGCTACAGCCAGCAGTAGGTTTGGTTAGCATAAAGAAAGGGGAACACAGTTCAGGACCAGGACTGGATATCCAGCCTGTCCTCATACCTCAACAACTGTGTAATGATAATCAATAGGAATTTTGGACAGTTCTGAGGAATCCCTGAGAGAAGCATCAACTGGGCTGCTCCCCCTCAACCTTCAATTAAGAGTTCTTTTCTGCCAAGAACACTGAAGAGAGTGAACTGGGCCGTGATTGGAAAAGCAATACAACGTAAAAAGTTGTGTTATTAATGATGAAAGATCATAATAAGGAAACAGTTGGAAAGAAGACGTATATTTCTCATTCATTCTCTTTTAATATTTAGTCTTTAGGTCAATTTTTGAAGGTTACTAATAGGAGCTTTGGCCGTAACACAGGCGACTACATGTTATGTTTCCAGGTGTTTCATTGGCTCATGTGTCGGCCCAATTGGTGTACACTTCCATCTGACCCAATCATCGTACATTAGACCACTTAAAGCTCCTCTTGCTTTGTGACATTACGTACTCAAAAGTATAATTTATTATAAAAATGTTGCAATCCTAAATGGCATTTGAAGAATAACTATCACTCCAATCATATTATTCTTGGATATTATTCATTGCAAAAGAAGATTAGGGGGTAGGGTCCGCCAACTTTGATAAAGGGTCCTCTGATTGGATTCCTTTTATCTCTTAAAATGATTTATGACTGTCACTAAAATATCTACCATGACTATTCGGGAGCCAGCGGCATGAGGGATAAAACACATTTTTAAAGTTGTGTTCAGTTTGGTTAAGTTCAGGCACAAGGCACTTGGTAAAGCATTGATAAAAAATATTGATTTGGGTTAAATTAAGTTCCTAAGTACAGGTACATTATTCAACGCTTGACCTTTTGGTTTCGCAGGGAACAGAAAGATCAATATGCATGGTGAAATCATGTGTGAACCATCCAACCCCCTGACATCCTTCCTATGCAGATGTGGTCGATGTTTCTTCTAGGGGTCACACTTCCTCCTTTGCCTAATAGTTGCCCCAGCCATTGAAGGTTGCTGCCTAACAATAAACGTTAATAACAGTCTTAGCGAGGAGCAGTTGGCCTAGCGGTTACTTTGCATGCCTCATGAGGGTGTGATCTTTGGGGCAGGCGGCCAAGGTTCAAATCCAATTTGTGGCTCTCCTTTCCCACGTGTTGTTTGTCCCTCTCTCCCTTCCCAATTTCCAACTCTATCCCTGTCCTGTCTCTCCAATAAATGCATAAAAAGCCCCAAAATAAATCTAAAGAAGAAAAAGGTCAAGCTGCTTGTGCCAAAAACCTATATGACTGTATTTTTGTGATGAAGGTGTAGGTTAGCAGTGGATATCACACTTAGCATTGTCCACTTTAAACAGGTTCATTGTAATTCAACTTACAAAGGGGTTCCTGTTCCATTCAGTGACTTCATAAACAAAAAAATCGTCTAAAAAAATGAGGCATATATCATCACGATAAAGCAGGTCTGTTCATTTTTTCATGGTTTAAATCTGACAAATTAGACGGGAAGTGCCAAATGATGTCTCTATCCAAGACGAAACTGTGAATAATAATATCATTAGCGTTTATTACAATAATTAATGAATATTCAGCTCGACCTACCTAATTAAATTAAAATGGAGCAACTCGCTGCTTTGAGATGAACCCGGAGACAAATGAAAAATGAATGAGAGTAAACTCTCGGAACAACAGAAAGCTTCTGTTTTTATTTCACCTCAGAGAAGCTGATATAATGAGTGCAAAAGATGCTAAATCATCTTTCAATTTCTGTTTTATCTTTTATATGTCTGTTCAGGGAGTGTGTGGGTGTCTTAAGTAAATTTCAAAATCCAGAGCATGCCATGAGACAACGCCAACATTAACATTAGGAGATGGAGAGCAGGACAAAGTATTACTGCTGATATAGAAAATAAGTATATACAGTCAGAGCCATACCAGGAACGCACCACATACAACATGATCTTAAAAAGTGACTTATGAAGGTAGACAGTAACACCTGCCAACGCTGCAGTGTGTCTGTGTAAGAGATCAGAGACGTGGGAGAAGAGCGGCTGAACAAGTTTGTCTTCTCCTGAATGTGACTCACAGTTTGGTGAAAAATGTCTCTGTTTGTCCGTGTCATCTCAGTCCTGTTTTCCCAGCTGTACCACTGCCTCCTGTTTGGATTACTTTCAGCTGTGCATTTCACACAGGTCCTAGAGGCTTGCACGTCTTAACTGCCCTGAAATCTTACTTTGTTTTAAGGAAACACGAGCCAAGCCCCATGTGTGCCAATGAGCCTCTGCCAGCCATGCTTTGTACAGCCAAACCGCTTCTTGTACTTCAAGGGTTATGACTTTCTCTGGGGTTTCACTGGGGCTCATCTCATGTTTCATCATCTTTTGGAAAAAAATGTGGGTTAGAGGTACAGCAAAGCTCTGCTAGACAAACCCCTCAGGGAAGAGGCTTGACAGAGCACCTTGTGTTTCGGGGGATCTGGCTGAAAAACCTTGCTTGTCTCACATCTGAAGTCCTGCTCTGTTTGTACACTGACATCCATGCATCAACAACTACCTACTCAAGGGTTGTCACAGTACCAGAATCTCAAACTGTGATACCATACCAGGAAAAATCAAACACTTTTGATACCTGTTTCTGCAACCACAAATAAAAGAACAAGAATAGAAGTTCTAGGCACCTAATAATTGTTACTTTTGTTGTTTTTTAATTACTAAAAATTGCAAGCAAACTTTTGCACACTGTCTTCATTGCACAAATACATTTGCAATGTTAGACCTTCTCTCCCTCACTCTCACCTCCTATACTCTCTGTCTGTTTGTGCGAGACATACGGTACATGTTGCTTTTGCAGCTTTTGCTCCAAAAAGGACTTGAGCAATGTCAGTATTTGCAGACCTTTGAATT